ACGGATGAGGAACCCTTCCTGACCATAGCCGGTGGATTTGCGGGAGGTGGGCCTACCATCCGGGGCACAAAAGATAACATTCGGAAACTGGTCAACTCAGTGGATGAGGGCCAGTCGTCTGAATATTCATTTCCGGAGGTTAACATCTCCGAGAAAGATAGAGGGGAGGTCAGGCGGCCTCATGATGACCCAATAGTCATCGAGTGCAAAATCGCCAATCAAAGAGTTGGCCGGATCTTGATTGATACTGGGAGCTCATCCGACCTCATAAGCTACCGGTGCTTGGAAAACCTCCAGTATAAGCCCAATAGCATGCATCCGGCCTCATACCCTCTTGTAGGTTTTGAGGGAGGAGTAGTACATCCAGTGGGCATGATTGATCTACCCATCCGGTTCGGAGAAAAGGGAAGGGGTCGGCACATGGTTGTCAAGTTTCTTGTTGTAGGAGAACTGAATGCCTATAACTTGATTATTGGCCGCCCAACCCTTAACATCTCAAAGGCTGTCATCATCCCATCTCTAATGTTGATCAAGTTTGAAAGGGATGATGGCACAGTCGGTTCCTTGAGTGGGGACCAAAAGATGGCGAGAGAGTGTTACCTCTCAGACATCAAACCAACGCTTGACACAAACGGTCAAGAAAAAGAAATAGTTGACCTTGACAACATTGATCAAAGCTTACCGGCTACTAAGCTAGCTTGTAAAAAGAGGAAGGCGGACCAACTGGCGCCTGTAAAGGAGAAACAATAGCAATCACTGTCCGGGGAGAGGCCAAACGTCCTTCGCCCCTAGCCGGCTGGAGAAATAATTGACATTGTCCTTGAAGACAGCCGGCCAGACAGAACCATCAAGATTGGAACGGTTGCGTTTGAAAGTTTGGGATCAGATTTGCTCCTTTTGCTGAAGGAGTTTAAAGATGTGTTTGCCTTTGAAGTAGAAGAGATGCCGGGTGTAAGTCCGGATCTTGCTGTTCATAAACTCGTTGTGGATCCTAAGAAGAAGTCGGTCAGGCAAAAGAAAAGGAACCATGGCGAGGAAAGGTCCCAAGCGGCAGCAACCGAGGTCATGAAACTCTTAGATGCTGGGTTCATCCGGCAATGTTACTACCCGGATTGGGTAGCCAATGTCTTCCTTGTAAAAAAGCCGAATGGAACCTGGCGGATGTGTGTAGATTACACGGACTTGAACAGAGCTTGTCCAAAAGATAGCTACCCGCTTCCAAAGATAAATCATTTGGTAGACTCTACAGCCGGCCATGCCCTAATGAGTTTTATGGATGCCTACTCCGGCTTCCATCAGATACCCTTGTGGAAGAAAGACAAAGAGAAGACGGCTTTCGTCACAGATCAAGGGTTATACTGCTACACGGTAATGCCGTTTGGGTTGAAGAATGCGCCTGCTACTTTCCAACGAATGATGAACTCGGTCTTTTATGATCAGATTGGAAGAAATGTGGAGGCGTACATCGATGACATGATAGTCAAGTCAAAGCTACAGGCGGATCATCTAGCCGACCTCCGAGAAACCTTCACCACCCTCAGGCGGCATAAAGTCATGTTAAATCCGAAAAAATGCGTCTTTGGAGTTGAGTCTGGGAAGTTTCTTGGATTTTTGATTGATCAGAGAGGCATAGAGGCCAATCTGGACAAAGTGCAGGCGGTGATTGACATGCAGTCGACTCGTACCGGTTGCCTAGCGGAATTTTGGAGATTCCTCAACCGGTCAGGTGACAAGTGCCTCTATTTCTTTCAAGCAATCAAAAAGAGGTCGAGGTTGAGGCGGCATTTTAAAGGCTGAAGCAACACTTGCATTCTTTGCCAAGGTTAGTGAGTCCCCTACCCCAGGAGGCTCTCTACATGTACTTGTCCATCTCAGATCATTCCTTGAGTGTCGTCCTCCTTGCTGAGAGAGACGGCAACCAGCTCCCGGTCTACTTTATAAGTCATGTCCTCTGGAATGCTGAACTTCGATATCCCATGATTGAAAAATTCGGTCTGGAATTGTTCAAGGCAGTCAAGCGGTTGAAACCGTATTTCTTGGCTCATCCGGTTACCGTTTACATTGACCAGCCGCTCAAAAGGCCTATGACCACTTTAGAGTCATCTGGAAGAATGATTAAATGTGCTATGGAAATTCAAAGTCTAGAAATCACTTTCGAATCCAGGCGGGCGGTGAAGGGTCAGGCGTTTGCCGACTTCATTGTTGAAATGACAAGGCCGATACAGTCGGATAAAACTGATCAAGTTTGGAAAGTTTATGTAGACGGAAGCTCTACGCTGAATGGTTGTGGGGCAGGCGTAATTTGTCATTCTCCAGAAGGGGACAAATACGAGTATGCTCTACGATTCAAGTTTCAAGCTTCGAATAATGAAGCTGAATACGAGGCCCTGCTAGCTGGTATCCGCATGTGTAAGGCAGCCGGGGCAAGGAAAGTTGACGCCTTCTCAAATTCACAACTCATCGTTAGCCAGTACAACGGTGACTATGAGGCCACCCATCCGGTGATGATTAAGTATCTTCAGGCGGTCAAAGAGGAGGCTGGGGCATTTGATGAATTTCATCTAAGTCAAGTACCCAGGTCCGAGAATAATCAGGCGGATGCACTATCCAAACTCGCATCATCCGCCACATGTGATACGCGTAGGTTAGTCTTCTGGGAAGTCATGGAAAAGAAAAGCATTGAACATGACCCCATTGGAGTTTTAGATCGAAGCTCCACTTGGATGGATCCCATCCGGGATTACCTGGTAGACGGCACTCTACCGGGTGTCTCATCAGAGGCGGCTTCTCTTAAAAGACGAGCATTAAGCTTCGTAATGCACAAAGGTGAACTTTTCCGGAAGGGTTACTTGTAGCCGCTATTCAAGTGTGTTACCCCAGAAAGGGGAAAGGAAATACTGGAAGATCTGCACACCGGCTTCAGTGGATCGCACATTGGCGGAAAGACCCTAGCCAAAAGAGTCAGGCGGCAAGGATACTTTTGGCCTACCCTTGAGGCGGATGCACTAGATATGGTAAAAAGATGAGACAAGTGCCAGAGATTCGGCCGGCTGATCAGGCAACCGGCAACTGATTTAACAGCTATTGCTAGATGAGCAGCCTGATACACTGTTCTAGCCTGCTTTTCTTCAGCAATCAGGTCCTCATTTGTAGGATCCATGTTAAGCTTTTGCTGCACAGACATCAAGTTGCAAGAAGCTTCAGTATGAGCACTTTCAATAGAAGACTGAGCGCTAAGATTCCTGTCCTTAAGGGCTTTCTTAATAGCCTGCAACTTCTTGACCACCCTAAACATAGTTGTGCCCTTAACTTGACTATTCCATTCTTGTTCAACAAGCATCAAAAACCCAGGAGCAGAAGTCCAGTGATTAAAGAATTTGAAAGGCTTAGCAGATCTGTCATTCACTCTAATCACAGTCATACAGCAGGGACTATGGTCCATTGTTCCTTCAGGGAGAATCACGGAAGTGGAATTGTCAAACTTCCTTATCCATTCATTATCAACTAGCACCCTATCAATTTTCGAACAAACCCTATGTTGCCCTTCCTTCTTATTATTCTTAGTATAAAACAGCGCACCAACTTTGAAATCAACAAGCTCGTTCTTACTCAGACACTCCCTGAAATCCTTAACCTCATCAAAAGTACAAGGAGAACCAATTTTGTCCTCTAAGTTGAGAACGTTATTAAAATCACCTCCAATAACCCAAGGGCCATTTACACCCCGAGTAATCTCAGAAAGATGGTCCCAAAGCTCCAACCTCCTCTTAGGATCATTGAACCCATAAACCGTAGTGACGAAAAACTAACTACCAGAAGATCTATGCTTAATAGCCAAATGAATAAGCTGCTCCTCCACCCTTAACACATTCACTTGATACATCGTAGGTAACCACAGAATCCAAATTCTACCTTTGTCACTCTTAGCATAATTTGCCACCACATACCAAGTATCATCAAAACTATTAAACACTGCTCCAAATTTTTTAGCCTTAACCTTAGTCTCCATGAGCCCAAATAAGCCCAAGTTGTGATGCCTCAGGAACCAGGATACATCATACCTTTTACTTGGCAAATTTAGGCCTCTCACATTCCAAAAACATATACTATCCATGGAGAGAATAAGAGCACTCCCCCTCCTCCATTCCCCCAAACAACACCCTTCCTTCATCAATACTGCACAGACCAGAAACTCTAGGACCCTCCTAGTTTTGGATACCAATTCTAGCTGTAAGATCACCTTCATCATCAAGATAGTCAAATCTGTTACCTGTTTCCACATTCACTGTTTCCTTCCCAATACTAGCTTACTGAACACTGATATTCTGATTGTTGTCTTGTGCTTGAGGTTGATCAGTCCTCTGAACAGGTCTCCAGACCCTTTTCACATTCTCCCCAAACTGACCACCTCTCCTTCTATTATTCCTCTGACTATTCCATTACTACGGGCACTACTCATCACTATGCCCAATAGCTGAGCACTTCTTGCACTTGATAGACTTCTATTCATTTATTACTTTTTAGATGACATTATGACCACCTTCATCCAAAAACTCAATCTCTCCAGGAAACTGTCCATCAACAGTAACCTCTACCATCAATCTAGCATAATCTAGCTTCTCTTTATTGGCAGTGATTTTATCAGATTTCACAGGTTTACCTATCAATCTGCCTATCTTCATTAAAGCACTCTAACACTAGAATTTTAGGTGCAGGCCAGGTAACCTGACCCAAACAGGAACTTCAAAGACACCCTCCTTCTCCAAATTAATATCGAGTTCCCACCTTTTCATAATCACAGGCCTACTGTCGAACAAAACTGGTCCCCCATTCAAGACCCTCTCCATACTGTCTTTTGCTCGAAAACGAACTAGGTATATGCCATTAGGCAACAAGTTCACCTTATCAATACCAAATCTCCCTCAAATCCTTCGATTAAAACCATTCATCACAAAATAAGGAACCCTTGCACCTAAAGCATAGCACATAATGACAGAGCACTAAAATTGAATATGTGGATCCACATCCTCAGCAGTAATCTGCATCTTTCCAGAATCACCTAGACCACAAGCATCTCCAGGTTGGGCATCAAGATCGTCACTAGTCAAATCAAGACCCTCATCCCTTGTGTTCCTGAATAACGTACTCCATCTCCTATTATTCTCTTCCCCTTGAATTAAGCGGCCCTAAAACCAGGGGTCTCACGTCCATTGAAATCAGATGCCCTAGAAACAAGGGTCTCTAAAATTGGGGGGGGGGGGAGGGTATCACGAGGGCTAGGGGTCATACCCATATTCCGACCAAACACAGAGCCACTTGAAATCGATGAAACATCCCTTACCATCATCAATGGATTCGGGTTTATCGATTCCGATTGGTCATTTGAAATCCCATTATTTACTGTTCCATTAACCGCATCACAGGTAACAGGGGAATTGTGGTGTATTACCTGTAGCCACTGATTGAACTGAGTTGAATGAAGCTCCTTATCTTCTTGACTGACTCTTCGTGAGGGATCATCCTGAACTCCATCACCTTCTAGCCAACTAACCTCAGACCCAGCACCATCTTCATCTCTTTGAGAATTTTTGACATGCAATCAGGTTCTAGGTTTAAGGCCACACTTCTTCTTAAACTTCGAAGATGAACCCTTCTTCCCTTTATTATTCTTCCCCTTGGTCATAGCCCAATCAAGGATTTGAAGAGAAAAACAATGGCGTGAAGAAGGATTTTCGCTCTCTAGGATTTCAATTGATTCAATTAGCTTTATTGAATGTATTTGACATTCAATTGATTCAAAAAGCTTTGTTTGAATGTGTTTGACTTTCATTTGATTCAATTAGCTTTGTTTGAATGTGGTTGAATTTCATTTGGTTAGATTAGCTTTGTTAGAATGTCATTGACTTTAATTTGATTTATTTAGCTTTGTTGAATGCATTTGACTTTCATTTGATTCAAAAAGCTTTGTTTGAATGTCTTTGCCATTCATATGATTCAATTAGCATCTTTGAATGCATTTGACATTCAATATATTTAAAAAGCTACGTTTGAATTTTTTGAACTTTCACTTGATTAGATTAGCTTTTTCGAATGTATTTGACTTCCATTTGTTTCAAAAAGCTTTCTTTCAATGTGTTTGACTTTCATTTGATTTAATTAGCTTTGTTTGAATGTGGTTGACTTTCATTTGATTCAATTAGCTTTGTTTAATGCATTTGACTTTCATTTGATTCAAAAAGCTTTGGTTGAATGTGATTGACTTTCTTTTGATTCTAATAGATTTGTTTGAATGTGTTTGACATTCATTTGATTTAATTAGAATTTTTAAATGCGTTTATTTCCAAATTTATTTAAAAAGCTTTGTTTAAATGTGTTTAATTTCAATTGATTCAATTAGCTTTGTTTGAATGTGTCTGACTTTCGTTTGATTCAATAAGCTTTGTTGAATGCATTTGACTTTCGTTTGATTTCAATATATTTCTTAAAATGTGTTTGACTTTCATTTGATTTAGTTAGCTTTGTAGAATGCATTAGACTTTCATTTAATTCAAAAAGCTTTTTATAAATGTGTTTGCATTTCCCTTGAATCAATTAGTTTTTTTGAATGCATTTTACTTTCATTTGATTCAAAAAGTTTGTTTGAATGTGTTTGACTTTCATTGAATTCAATTAGCTTTGGATGAATGTGTTTGACTTTCATTTGATTCAATTAGCTTTGTTAAATGCATTTGAATTTCTTTTGATTCAAAAAGATTTGGTTGAATGTGATTGACTTCTTTTGATTCAAATAGCTTTGTTTGAATGTGTTTGACATTCATTTGATTAAATTAGATTGTTAAATGCGTTTATTTCTAAATTGATTTAAAAAGCTTTGTTTGAATGTTGTTGACTTTCATTTAATTCAATTAGCTTAATTAGATTGTCTTTGACTTTCATTTGATTCTATTAGCTTTGTTGAATACATTTAACTTTCATTTGATTCAAAAAGATTTGTTAAAATGTGTTTGACTTTCATTTGATTTGATTAGATTTGTTGAATGCATTAGACTTTCATTTGAATAAAAAAAAAAGCTTTTTATGAATGTGTTTGGCTTTCACATGATTCAATTAGTTTTTTTTTAATGCATTTTACTTTCATTTGATTCAAAAAGCTTTGTTTGAATGTGTTTGACTTGCATTTGATTCAAATAGCTTTGTTTGAATGTGTTTGACTTTCATTTGATTCAATTAGCTTTGTTGAATGCATTTGACTTTCATTTGATTCAAAAAGCTTTGGTTGAATGTGTTTGACTTTCTTTTGATTTAAATAGCTTTGTTAGAATGTGATTGTGTTTTATTTAATTTAATTAGAATTGTTAAATGCGTTTTTTTTAAATTGATTTAAAAAGCTTTGTTTAAATGTGGTTGATTGTCATTTGAATCAGTAACCTTTGTTAGATTGTATTTGACTTTCATTTGATTCAATTAGCTTTGTTGAATGCATTTGACTTTCATTTGATTCAAAAAGCTTTGTTTTAATGAATTTGACATTCATATGATTCAATTATTATTGTTGAATGCACTTAATAATTGTTTGATTGAAAAAGCTCTGTTAAAATGTGTTTGACTTTATTTTAATTCAATTAGCTTTGTTAGAATGCATTTGACATTCATTTGATTCAATTATCTTTGACGAATACATTTTACTTTCATTTGATTAAAAAATCTTTCTTTGAATATTTTTTACTTACATTTGATTCAATTAGCTTTGTAAGAATATCTTTGACTTTCATTTGATTTAATTAGCTTTGTTGAATGCATTTGACTTTCATTAGATTCAAAAAGCTTTGTTTGAATGTGTTTAACTTTCATATGATTCTATTAGCATCGTTGAATGCATTTGACAATCATTTTGATTCCAAAAGCTTTGTTTGCATTTGTTTACCTTTCACGTGATTCTATTAGGTTTCTTTTATGCATTTGACTTTCATTTGATTCAAAAAGCTTTGTTTGAATGTGTTTCACTTTATTTGATGCAATTAGCTTTGTTTGAATGTGTTTTACTTTCAATTGAATCAATTACCTTTGTTGAATGCATTTGACATTCATTTGATTCAAAAACATTTGGTTGAATTTGTATGACTTTCATTTGCTTTAATTAAAATTGTTTAAGTAGCTTTGTTTATTTGTTTGATGTTTATTTGATTTAATTAGCTTTGTTGAATGCATTAGACTTTCAATTGATTCAAAAAGCTTTGTTTGAATGTGTTTGACTTTCTTTAGATTCAATTAGGTTTGTTTGAATGTGTTTAACTTTCATTTGATTCAATTAGCTTTGTTTAATGCATTTGTCTTTCATTTGATTCAAAAAGCTTAGGTTGAATGTGTTTGATTTTCCATTTAATTCAAATAGCTTTGTTTGAATGTGTTTGACATTCATTTGATATAATTAGCTTTGTTAGATTGTATTTGATTTTCATTGGATTCAAAAAGCTTTGTTTTAATGTGTTTGACATGCATATGAGTCAATGCATTGTTGAATGCATTTTACTTTCATTTGATTCAAAAAGATTTGGTTGAATGTAATTGACTTTCTTTTGATTCTAATAGCTTTGTTTGAATGTGTTTGACATTCATTTGATTTAATTAGAATTTTTAAATGCGTTTATTTCCAAATTTATTTAAAAAGCTTTGTTTAAATGTGTTTGATTTCAATTGATTCAATTAGCTTTGTTTGAATAAGTCTGACTTTCGTTTGATTCAATAAGCTTTGTTGAATGCATTTGACTTTCATTTGATTTCAATATATTTCTTAAAATGTGTTTGACTTTCATTTGATTTAGTTAGCTTTGTAGAATGCATTAGACTTTCATTTAATTCAAAAAGCTTTTTATAAATGTGTTTGCATTTCCCTTGAATCAATTAGTTTTTTTGAATGCATTTTACTTTCATTTGATTCAAAAAGTTTGTTTGAATGTGTTTGACTTTCATTGAATTCAATTAGCTTTGTATGAATGTGTTTGACTTTCATTTGATTCAATTAGCTTTGTTAAATGCATTTGAATTTCTTTTGATTCAAAAAGATTTGGTTGAATGTGATTGACTTTCTTTTGATTAAAATAGCTTTGTTTGAATGTGTTTGACATTCATTTGATTAAATTAGATTGTTAAATGCGTTTATTTCTAAATTGATTTAAAAAGCTTTGTTTGAATGTTGTTGACTTTCATTTAATTCAATTAGCTTAGTTAGATTGTCTTTGACTTTCATTTGATTCTATTAGCTTTGTTGAATACATTTAACTTTCATTTGATTCAAAAAGATTTGTTAAAATGTGTTTGACTTTCATTTGATTTGATTAGATTTGTTGAATGCATTAGACTTTCATTTGAATAAAAAAAAAAAGCTTTTTATGAATGTGTTTGGCTTTCACATGATTCAATTAGTTTTTTTTTAATGCATTTTACTTTCATTTGATTCAAAAAGCTTTGTTTGAATGTGTTTGACTTGCATTTGATTCAATTAGCTTTGTTTGAATGTGTTTGACTTTCATTTGATTCAATTAGCTTTGTTGAATGCATTTGACTTTCATTTGATTCAAAAAGCTTTGGTTGAATGTGTTTGACTTTCTTTTGATTCAAATAGCTTTGTTAGAATGTGATTGTGTTTTATTTAATTTAATTAGAATTGTTAAATGCGTTTTTTTTAAATTGATTTAAAAAGCTTTGTTTAAATGTGGTTGACTGTCATTTGAATCAGTAAGCTTTGTTAGATTGTATTTGACTTTCATTTGATTCAATTAGCTTTGTTGAATGCATTTGACTTTCATTTGATCCAAAAAGCTTTGTTTTAATGAATTTGACATTCATATGATTCAATTATTATTGTTGAATGCACTTAATAATTGTTTGATTGAAAAAGCTCTGTTAAAATGTGTTTGACTTTATTTTAATTCAATTAGCTTTGTTAGAATGCATTTGACATTCATTTGATTCAATTATCTTTGACGAATACATTTTACTTTCATTTGATTAAAAAATCTTTCTTTGAATATTTTTTACTTACATTTGATTCAATTAGCTTTGTAAGAATATCTTTGACTTTCATTTGATTTAATTAGCTTTGTTGAATGCATTTGACTTTCATTAGATTCAAAAAGCTTTGTTTGAATGTGTTTGACTTTCATATGATTCTATTAGCATCGTTGAATGCATTTGACAATCATTTTGATTCCAAAAGCTTTGTTTGCATTTGTTTACCTTTCACGTGATTCTATTAGGTTTTTTTTATGCATTTGAATTTCATTTGATTCAAAAAGATTTGTTTGAATGTGTTTGACTTTATTTGATGCAATTAGCTTTGTTTGAATGTGTTTTACTTTCAATTGAATCAATTACCTTTGTTGAATGCATTTGACATTCATTTGATTCAAAAACATTTGGTTGAATTTGTATGACTTTCATTTGCTTTAATTAAAATTGTTTAAGTAGCTTTGTTTATTTGTTTGATGTTTATTTGATTTAATTAGCTTTGTTGAATGCATTAGACTTTCAATTGATTCAAAAAGCTTTGTTTGAATGTGTTTGACTTTCTTTAGATTCAATTAGGTTTGTTTGAATGTGTTTAACTTTCATTTGATTCAATTAGCTTTGTTTAATGCATTTGTCTTTCATTTGATTCAAAAAGCTTTGGTTGAATGTGTTTGATTTTCCATTTAATTCAAATAGCTTTGTTTGAATGTGTTTGACATTCATTTGATATAATTAGCTTTGTTAGATTGTATTTGATTTTCATTGGATTCAAAAAGCTTTGTTTTAATGTGTTTGACATGCATATGAGTCAATGCATTGTTGAATGCATTTTACTTTCATTTGATTCAAAAAGATTTGTTTGAATATGTTTGACTTTCATTTGAATAAAATAGCTTTGTTTGAATGTGTTTGGCTTGATTTTTATATAATTATTCTTGTTAAATGCTTTTGTTTCCAATTGATTCAAAAAGCTTTGTTTTAATGTGGTTGACTTTCATTTTATTCAATTAGCTTTATTAGAATGTCTTTGACTTACATTATGCAATTAATTTTGTTGAATGCATTTTAAGTTCATTTGATTCAAAAAGCTTTGTTTGAATGTGTTTGACTTTCATATGATTTATTTAGCATCGTTGATTGTATTGGACAATCATTTGATTCAAAAAGCTTTGTTTGCATTTGTTTGACTTTCACATGATTCAATTAGATTTTTTAATGCATTTGACTTTCATTTTATTCAAAAATCTTAATTTGAATGTATTAAACTTTAATTTGATTCACTTAGCTTTGTGTGAATGTGTTTGACTTTCATTTGATTCAAATAGCTTCGTTTAAATGCGTTTGACTTTCATTTGATTTAATTAGAATTAATAATTGCGTTTGTTTTTAAATTGAGTTAAAAAGCTTTGTTTGAATGTGGTTGACTTTTATTTGATTTAATTAGCTTTGTTAGAATGTGTTTGACTTTTATTTGTTTTAATTATCTTTGTTGAATACATTTTACTTTCATTAGATTCAAAAAGCTTTGTTTGAATATGTTTGACTTTCATTTGAATAAAATAGCTTTGTTTGAATGTGTTTGACTTTCATTTGATTTAATTATAATTGTTAAATGCATTGGTTTTCCAATTGATTCAAAAAGCTTTGTTTGAATGAGGTTGACTTTTATTTAATTCAATTAGCTTTGTTAGAATGTCTTTGATTTTCATTGGATTTAATTAGCTTTGTTGAATGCATTTGATTTTCATTTGATTCAAAAAGCTTTGTTTGAATGTGTTTGAATTTCATATGATTCTAATTTTATTTTTTTTTGGTAAGTAAGACGTTTTTATTACCAAAAAAGAAAACGAGGGAAACCCCTGACCCAAACTACACGAGGAAAACAAAGGGCCAAAACAAAACATCAAGACAAGACTAAACACAAACCTACATCTAACTCTATAGATTACAGCTTAAACATGCCAAAAAACATACAAAAGAAATATCCAAAACAAACAAAAAAACCAAGAGAAGTTAATTACAAGGCAAACTATTTTCGAGTTTACACAATCATTTTGCTTGCTTTCTTGACCAAGAAACACTGATAAGTTGGTGGCATCTGTCCAGGACTTCCACACACACTTCTTTGCAAATCTTCTATAGACGAATCACAGCTTTGTGCCATAGGACATGATTTCTAGCCCGCCATATATGGTATACCAGACCAGTGAGAACAGCTAGCCTCACTTTCTGTTGAACTGAGTCTGCAGAAACTCTCTTCCTCTGTTTCAAGGCTGTTTCAATTACAAACCTTCTATGCTTGAGGGCATTCCAAGGGCAAAGAAACTTGAGGCAGGCTTAACTATAACAACATTCAAAAAACAAGTGTTGTAAGGATTCAGGAGCTATGCCACACAGTAAGCACTGCTTACTCTCACTCACTCCAATACTATACAGTTTAATTCTCAGTCTGAGTCTATCTTGGGCAGCTAACCAAGCAATAAACGTGTGTTTTGGAATATTGAACTTATTCCAAATCCAATTTTTCCAGCTGACTGTAAGCATGCTTCCAAGAATCCAGCTGTATCCTTCAACAATAGTATAAGTACCTTCTGTCCACCTATTACTAATGAAACCAGTCATCATTTCCTCTTTAACCCTGCAGATTTTCTTCCATGCCCTGCTTACCCTTTTGCCTGGAATATAATGCCACCAATCTTTATGCTTAACATAGACTGAGTGCACCCATTCAACCCACAAAGAGTCTTTTTTACAAGCTACCTTCCAAACATACTTGCCCAGGGCTGCTTTATTCCAAGCACTGCAGTTCCTAATTCCCATACCACCCACCTTTCTAGGTTTACAAACCCAATCCCAGGATATAGGAGGAGCTTTGGATAGAGAAATGTTCCCATCCCACAAATAAGCCCGACATAGTTGATTAATCCTATCTAATACACTTTTAGGCATGAGAACACACTGAGCCCAGTAGGAGTAAAAACTAATCAAAATTGAATTTATGAGCACCACTCTGCCAGCATATGACAGATTCCTACTTGACCAACAAGTAACACTAGCCATAATTTTATCTGTGAGTACATCGAAGTCACTAGCTCTTAGATATCTGGAATTTAAAGGGATTCCTAAATACTTGAAAGGAAAATCTCCTTCAACAAATCCAGAAGAAAACAGAATCTCCTGCTTTACATCCTCACTCACATTCCCAAAATAGATGGATGTTTTATCCTCATTTGCCTGAAGACCTGAAACCATGTGAAAAGTCTTTAAAGCTCTAACTAATAAAGACACAGAGGCCTTGTTACCATAAGAGAACAACATCAAATCATCAGCAAAGATCAAATGATTTAATTTTAGAGGATTGCATCTGTGATGAAACTTGAAGCTCCTTTTCTGCCCAATCTTCTTGAATAATCTGGTCAATACTCTATACATATGACAAATAGAAGAGGAGAAAGAAGATCCCCCTTTCTAATCCCTTTTGCACCCCTTTGAAGAAACCATTACTTCCCCCATTAATCATTATTGAAAAGGAGGGGGAAGAAACACAGGTCATTACCCACCCAACAAACTGAGGAGGGAAACTAAGAGCCTTTAACATTCTCTTAATAAATTTCCATTTCAAGGAATCATAAGCCTTCTTGATATCCACCTGTATTGTACATCTAGGAGGCTTTCTCTGATTTTTATAATCTTTAAGGAGGTCCTGACAAATCATGATGTTATCAATGATAGCCCTACCAGAAACAAAGGCACCTTGCTCTTCACTAATGATATCAGGAAGGATTTCCTTTAGTCTAGTGCAAATCATCTTAAAAATGATCTTGTATATCACATTACATCAAGCTATAGGACGATATTGAGTAACTGCAATTCCATTAGCCACCTTAGGAACTAAAGTGAGAGAGGCAGTATTAGTTGTTTTAAAAGCTTGCTTGTTTCAAAGAAATTCAGTACAGCTCCACACACATCAGTCTTGACTATGTCCAAGGCTTTCTTAAAAAAGCTACTAGTATACCCATCAGAAGCAAGTGACTTATTTTCATCAATGTCCCAAAGAGCATTCCTCACATCATTCTCAGTAAAAGATCTACAAACAACATGTTTCTGGTTTTCAGTCAAAACCTTACCATCACAGATCACTTCAGAATGAATGTCCATAGCTTCCCCATCATCACTTCCTAGTAAATTCTGGTAGTAAGAGATAAACGTTTTAGCAATCATTCTAGGATCACTAATCATCTCTCCATTCTGATTCTGAATAGAATAGACCCTATTTATCACCCTTCTATTCCTGATCCAAGAGTGAAAATAGTTAGAGTTCAAATCGCCCTCCTTCATCTAGTGAGCTTTAGCTTTCTGTTTGAGGAAGAGAAATCTGGCCTGATGAGCTTTAGAGTACTCAGCCCTTGCCTCATATTCCTGCTTCAATAGATCTTCATTAGTAGTGTTTAGGGTAAAAAACTACCCTTGATGCGTGGCCCAATGGCCCTTCGACACGTGGCAGCCTCTCAGAGGTTTACAAGGCTCCAATCCCCTAGTGACACGTGTCCATGGAACCTTAAATGCGGGACAGGTTCCCCCACTATAAATAGTGGACCAAACCTCATTTATGGGGCATTCATAAATTAGCCCAGAAACATTACACAAAAAACCCAGCAATATTCATTACAGAATTCTCCTTAAACCCGAGAGAAGTATTTACCATTTCCGTACAATTTACTACTCCGGACGTATACTAACTTGATCGTTAGAGGCGGAGCTCCCACCAACTAGAGTCTACGTTGTTTTGCAGGTACAAGCATCGACTGCACATATTAGGGATTGTAACTCTCCCGAGGGACTCCCAAAAACCCTCGAAACATTTGGCGCCGTCTGTGGGGAGAGTACTTCCTAGATGACTTTTGACATTGTACCGCCTGTTGAGGGAAAATAGCTTTCGGCCGAGCCTGAGGTCCACACGGACCAGGATAGCAGTGACGACTATTAGGTCGACACCTATGAGGCTTCAGCTGGGTCACTTCGATTAAGGCGCACCCGTTCCAAAGAACAAGGGAACGGGGCCAAGTAAAAGCGAGTCCTAGCAACCTAGTCGGTGAGCCTGCTAGGCAACCCCAGGTGGCGGAGGGCACAACCCCTGTCACCAGAGACGAGCTCATGAAATTCATGACGAGTTTCAAAGGGGAAATCAAGGCATCATAAAAAAGTCAACTGGCACAAACAAGGGTCAGACGGCAAAGAAGCCTTCTCCCTCCGGGAAGAAGCAACTCAAAGACTAGGTGCCTACTCCTCACCCCAAACCAAAGGGGGTGGATGGGCCCCTGATCGACCTCTCCAAACTTTGTTTCCCTAAATCAAGGCAAAGGAAGGCCATCCGGCAAGTTTAGCTGAATGGGTCAAAGAAGACTTACTCTGACACCCAGATGTTCATCTAGGAAAAGAGAAGTCTACCGCTGTTCACGTCGGCTTCAACGTCGACCTACCCAAACAACTTCCGAAGTACCTCCATAAAGCATTCGGAAACAAATGATGGAAGTCAGTTGTGCGGCTTGTCCGCACGTTCTAGTCCTAAAATTATCCATCCGATACAGTAGGAGTCACCGTACATGCCGTATGGATTTCCATACATGCAGTTGACCCACTTCAGGGGTCAGGCGGCACAACCGGTCTAGCCCATGGACTGGCGGATCTGGCTGCTTAACCTTAGGGAACAGCCAACGACTTTCTCTAGGGAAATAACCGAGGTGGCACAACCGACCAAGGTTAAAAGCATGTTGGTTGGTACCTATGATGGTACCGCCAACCCAGAAGACCACCTACTAGCTTACACCTACCTCATGTACTTACAGGGGTTGGATGATGCCGCCTGGTGTCGGTGCTTCCCGGCTACGTTGAAGGGAATAGCCCAAAAATGGTTTGGAAACCCGCCAGCTGGGTGCATCAACAACTTCAAAACATTGGCGTACTTGTTTACGTCAAACTTCTCCATGAACATTCGTGCCAAAAAGACAAGTCTCGATCTCGGGGCTATACAGTAGAGGGAGAAGGAAGGACTTATGTCCTACATCAGGCGGTTCAATCTGATGCGAATCCAGATACAAGGACTGTCTGACGATGTTGCCTACACAGACTTCTTCAAGGGTCTGAAGGACGGGTCTTCAAGTTCGACTTGGTCAAGAAGAGGGTTGCTACCCTCTAAGAGGCACTAATGGTAGCTAAAGCCAATATACAGGCGATGGAGCTTTGTGCTATGAGGCATCCCTCGGACCCTAAAAAGTCCGAGAGGAGAGAGAGCCGGCCATCCTAGCCGGTAAAGAAGGAAGAAATGAAAAGAAAAGAAGTCAGGACGGCAGATCGATCTGGTCAGTTGGCCTAGAAGAGCAGAAGAAAATCAGAACCGTACGTCCCAAAGTACGAGTTCACCAAGGACTGCTCCTCCATCCTCATGGAGATCAAAGACCGGTTGACTCTTGAAAAACCGGCAGCAATGAAAAGTCCCGTCAGCAGCCGGGACAAGAGCAAATACTGCCAATTCCATGAGGATGTTGGCCATGACACCAACTATCAGACGGCCTCACGATGACCCTATCGTCATCGAATGTAAGGTTGCCAATCAACGAGTTGGCCAGATTCTAATCGATACCGGGAGCTCGTCTGACCTGATGAGCTACCAATGCATGACAAAGCTTAAGTACATGCCCAGCAACATGCATGAGGCTCCTCACCCCTTAGTCGGTTTTGGGGGAGGAGTAGTGCATCCGGTGGGAAAGATTGACCTACCCATCTGGTTGGGAGAAAAAGGGCAAGGGCGGCACATGGTCGTCAAGTTCCTGGTTGTTTAGGAGCTGACCGCTTACAATATGATTTTTGTCGCCCCACCCTCAACGACTCCAAGGCAGTCATCATCCCGTCTCTCATGCTGATCAAGTTTCAGAAGGCTGATGGGACAGTCGGTGCCCTGAATGGGGACCAAAAGACGGCTAGGGAGTGTTACCTCTTAGATGTTTAACCAACTATGGCTTCAGCTGGTCACGGAAAAAAGCTCATAGAGCTTGATAACTGCGATCAAGCATTGCCGGCTCCAAGGGCAGCCGATAAAAAGAGAAAGGCGGACCAATTGGCCACCGTTAAGAAAGAAAAACAATAGCAATCATTGACCGGGGAAAGGTCGGATGACTTCCGACCCCAATCGGCCGGTGAGAACATTGATGTCATCCAGGACGACAGCCGGCCCGACAGAACTGTCAAGGTTGGGACGGTTGCTTTTGAAAAGTTGGGAGCAAGCTTGCTCCAACTGCTGAAAGAATTCAAAGACCTTTTTTCCTTTTAAGTGGAAGAGATGCCAAGCGTCAGCCCGGATCTTGCTGTCCACAAACTCGCTGTGGATCCCAAAAAGAGGCCGGTTAGGCAAAAGAAGAGGGATTATGGCGAGGAAAGGTCTCAGGCGACAGCTGCCGAGGTTAAAAAGTTGTTAGATGCGGGGTAGCAAACGTTGTCTTTGTCAAAAAACCGAATGGTACCTGGCTTTCCAACGAATGATAAACACAGTTTTCATCAATGAAATCTGAAGGAATGTAGAGGTGTATATTGATGACATGATAGTCAAGTCCAAGCTTCAGGCGGATCACCTAGCCGACCTCCGAGAAACCTTCAACACCCTCAGGCGGCACAAGGCCATGCTTAATCCCAAAAAGTGTGTCCTTGGTGTTGAGTCTGGGAAGTTTCTCGAATTTCTACTTGATCAAAGAGGCATAGAGGCGAATCCGGAAAAGGTATAGGCGGTAATTGACATGCAGTCACCCCGCACTATCAGGGAAGCCCACCAACTTACCGGTTGCCTGGCGGCATTAGGAAGATTCCTCAGCCGGTCAGGCGACAAGTGTCTCTATTTCTTCCAAGCAATCAAGAAGAGGTCTAGATTTGAGTGGGGAGAAGAAGCTAAGGCGGCATTTCAGAGGTTAAAGCAACACTTGCACTCTTTGCCAAGTCTAGTGAGCCCCCTGCCCCAGGAGGTTCTCTACATGTACCTAGCTGTCTCAGATCACTCTTTTAGTGTTGTTATTCTTGCTGAGATAGACGGCAAACAGCTCCCGGTGTATTTCATCAGCCATGTTCTAAGAAATGCTAAGCTCCGGTACCCAATGATTGAAAAATTTGGGCTGGCCCTCTACAAAGCAGGCAAATGGTTGAAACCCTACTTTTTGGCTCATCCGGTTATCGTCTATACTGAGCAGCCACTCAAACGTCCAATGACTACTATAGAGTCATCCGGCAAAATGATCAAGTGGGTTGTTGAAATACAAAGCCAAGAGATAACTTTCGAACCTAAGCAGACAGTGAAAGGTCAAGCGTTTGCTGACTTCATTGTTGAAATGACTAGGCCGACACAGTTGGAAAGTGCTGATCAAGTTTGGAAGTCATTCGTAGACAAAGTTCTACAATGAATGGTTGTGGTGCAGGCGTAATTTGCAAATCTTCGGAAGGGGATACATATTAATATGCACTACGGTTCAAGTTCCAAGTTTCAAACTACGTAGCTGAGTACAAGGTCGGCAGCATTGAAGAAGCGATATTTGAGCTTCGAAATGTACAAGGGGGAGCTTTTCAAAAAGGGTTACCTCCAGCCGTTGCTAAAGTGTGTTACCCCTAAAAGGGGAAAACAGGTACTAGAGAATCTGCACGCGGGCTTTTATGTGCTTCACATATAGGTGGCAGAACTCTAGCAAAGAGGGCCAAGCGGGAAGGTTATTTTTGGCCCACTCTTGAGGCAGACGCCATGGAATTGGTGAAGAAATGTGACAAGTGCCAGAGGTTTGGCCGGCTCATACACCGTCCGGCAAAAGATCTAACGGCCATCTACAGCCCGGTTCTATTTGCAAAATGCGGCATGGACATCTTAGGTCCTTATACGCCTACATCAGGCGGAAGAAGATACATCCTTGTGACTATGAATTACTTCACCAAATGGGTTGAGGCTGAGGCGGTCAAGGGCATCAAGACAAAGGATGTCATCTCCTTCATTTGGAGAAACATCATCACCCAGTTTGGGGTCCCTATTGTTTAGGGTAAAAAATACCCTAAGACACGTGGCCCAATAAAGGCCTGCCACGTGTCAAGCTTGCAACGGTCAGCAAAGGCCCAATCCCTTTGCGACACGTGTCATTTTACCCTAATTGAGGTACAGTTCTCCCTACTATAAATAGTAAGGGCAGACCTTATTAATGGGAATCGAATCATTTTTCCACAAACCAACAAAACACAAATCCCCTTGCAAACGCTCTCAAATCGAGAAGCATTTATTGTCTTATTTCCTCATTTAGAAAGAGACTAACTTAATCTTCGGAGGCGGAACACCCCAGCCCCAGCCGGAGTATTCCGTTATTTGTGCAGGTACAGGCGAAGGAAGGAGCATACTAGGAAATTGTAACTCTCCCGTAGGACACATAAAAAACCCCCAAACATCTGGCGCCGTCTGTGGGGAGAGTACTTTCTAGATGACTTCAGAACAAGTACAGCCGGGTAAAAGTAGTCAACCTGCTGGTGAGGCTGAGGTCCACTCGGACCAAGACACAGCTGACAATCATGAGATTGAAACCTACACAGCAGCCGATGGTTCCTTCAGACCCAAGCATACTCGTTCCAAAGACAAGAAGGAACGAGCAGAGCAGCAGACAGGCCCAAATCATCCTACCAGGGGACCTCTTGGGT